TCAACCGAGGCTCTTGTTAGAGCCGGGTTGTAGCGGACCAGAGGTGAGCTCCCGTACCCTGGCTGGGACGGGTCGTCCAGTCTTCCCTTAACGCCGGGCTAAGGGACCCGTGGGTAGCAGAGCCCGGAGTGTGCAGGCTGCGATAGAAGGGAGGCTGTCACTCCCGGAGGCTATCGTCGTGGTAGGGGCCGTACCCATTCGTGTTACAGTAGTGTGTAGAGCCGAGTTCGAAAGAGTTATAATAAACGCGTTGCCTCAACCAGACGTCTCCGTGTGATTAGTTACGGACACAACACTTATATTAAAGAGTATACTATGAGACCTTTGCCAGTAGCAAGATATAGTAATAGGTTTTTACCCTTTTATCTGGCACAAAAACTGACACCTATATACAAGGGATCATGTGTGAAATAACCACAACACAAGCAGTCTGCTTGTGTTGTGGTTATTATATCTTGCTACTGGCAAAGGAGGTATCAGTGTAAATGCTTACCCCGAGCTCTCAATACTCTGATAGTGCGCTGTTTTTGAGTTGTACGCCTTTTGGCGTCTTCTGGTCCAACACCAGTGGAGACTAGGCTCTAAGAAAAGCCGTCTCGGGTGTGGACCAATCAAATTCTAGGACAGTGCATGTCATTATCAAAGTTGTCTCTTTTTGATTGCATTTTGACTGCTTGTGTTGTGGTTATTGCAAACATGATCCCTTGTATTAAGGTGTTAGTTATGGTGCCAGATAAAAGGGTAAAAATCTATTTCTAAAAGAGTATAGTCAGTGGGTTTTCAAAGTACCTTCGTCTTACAGAAATTAATTTCGCGTGAGCCCACCGCATTAAAACGATGCTCAACAGAGCGGGGCGAGTCACGGTGGGGGGGGAGGGGGGTCACCTTATCTTAGTCACGTGACGTAGCTCACGTGACTTCTGACGCGACAATGTCTGGATGTTTTCGCCTGAGGACGACCGCTCGTGTTGCGATCGAAACGTCGTGATTTATTTTTTGTTATTTTATTTTTTCTACCTTCGTGACCTTACCGAAAGAACCAAAGAGTATTAAAGACGTCTTGTGTGCTGATCTTTTTCATATCTGCGTACATCGATCTCCCACATTGCTTACACGTACACACCACACACAATGAAATAAATAGAAACTGGAACGACTTCCGGGGATGGGGAAAGATTGAGGAAACTCTTTCAATGGAGCGAGTTAAGTTTGTTCGATTCAACATCTCTCTGTCCGTCTGTGTCTCTGTTCCCCTCTGTGCCTCTCTCTCGCTGACTGTGTCTCTGTCGTCTCTGTATCTTTCTTTCTGTGTTCCTCTTGTCTGTGTCTGTCCACCTCTCTCTTGTCAGTCTCTGTGTGTGTCTCTATCAGCGTCTTTCCAACCGTGTTCAACTACTGTCAGTAGCAACATGCGCCCACAACTACACGCGACTCAAACTTGCTCCGAGTCTCTGTGTGTACGTTGAACTTATTTCGCACCGTACGTAGCCAACCATGCTAAATCTGTGGGTCTCTGTGTGAGTCTCTGTGTGTATCTGGAACTTCTTTCGCACCGTACGTAGCCGAACCTGCACAGGAGGAGCGGCTGGTATCTGTGGAGCTGTGGGCTGGGTACATCTGTCAACAGGAGCGAGAGACGTGAAGCTCCCAAGCATTCACTACGTTACCAACATCATATTTGCACTCATAAGTCGCTTGCCTAACTGCCTCGGCAACTCAGTGTTTCGTATCGAATCTCATCTCAAACAATCGAAGGACCCCCCCTAAGTGGCAGCTGCCCCTGTGTGGCACAAGGTGCAATGACCTGTGCGTTGTGAATGACACAACGCTATGTTTTACAGCTGCCGTGAAGCAGACTGTGCATATTGTGGTGATTGTTACTGGGGTAGCCAGGTGTGCCTGTCGGATTTGAACCGTGAACCTCTGCAGTAAATAGAGAATGTGCTACAATATTCTTGGTTCTTTCGGTAAAGTCACGTAAATAGAAAACACAAATAAAAAATATAATTTATTTTTATTTAAATTGTCATTTTGTTTCATTTACGTGACTTTAGCGAAAGAACCAAGAATATTAATTCCTGCAGTCACGAAAGTTTCAAGTCAAAATAGAATTCGCCTCCACTCGGCTCGCCTCAATCTGCGTGGAGGCGTTGGGGGGGTCAGCCTGAGAGAACTTCCTTCCAGACGGCTCCACGCAGCTTCGTGCGGAGCGACAGGCCAGGGAGCTCCCACACAGCGTGGTGCAGCTGATGAACATTTATATTCTGTAATGTTTTGCAAAAGCTCCCTTGTGTAGTTTGCAAAAGCAAAACATTACAGTAAGATTTGGTACAGTACACAAAATTCAAAAACTAGTATCTTGCACTAAAGACGCATTACCTAAATTATCAACAGAAGGTGTATATCGGATTAATTGTTTATGTGGCAGCTGCTACATTGGGCAGACGGGACGTGACATCAGTGTAAGACTAAAAGAACATCAGAGAAATATTAAATTATCTCTAACACAACTGTCGGCAGTGGCAGAACATGCTTGTCAACAAGGACACTCAATTGATTTTGACAATGTTGCAGTGGTGTGTAAAACTAATTATTACTGGCAAAGACTAATTAGAGAATCCATTGAAATTGAGAGGAACAAGAATTACTTTAATCGCTCTGACAGCTACAGGCTTAGTGCGGCCTGGAAGCGTATTATTAAATAATACACATTACATTTTGATTTAAGAATTACTAATCTACAACTCATTACTAATCATAACCAATGACTGATTACTAATCGATTATATAATTACAATACCCCTCCCCTCCGCCTCTAATCACTGCACCTGATATGAGTTAAGTGATGACGTCACCCTGCTGCTCTATTTAAGACCGGAATCAAGTGAGGGCTTTACCATTCTGGCGAAATGCCCGATGATGCTGGATGTATTTACCAGCGAAACGTCGTACTCAAACTGTATATGTGGATTCACTCTTCAACACACTGGTGGGCTAAAGTAGTGAATTATTTGTCTTTTGTCAACGTGACACTTTTTTGCTGATTGGCCGTGTCGGGTGGTGGAGGGTTACGACACATTTATAAATAAACGCGATCTAACCCAAAAACCTTTATTATGAAAGTCACGTAGATAGAAAACAATAAAACATGAAAATTGGAAAATAATAAATTGATTAAAAGATGCCATTGGTCGACTGACTGAGATGACTGTGCCCACCACAGTGTACACACACAGTGTACACACACAGTGTACACACACACAGTGTACACACACACAGTATACACACACAGTGTACACACACAGTGTACACACACACAGTGTACACACACACAGTGTACACACACAGTGTACACACACACAGTGTACACACACACAGTGTACACACACAGTGTACACACACAGTGTACACACACAGTGCACACACACAGTGTACACACACAGTGTACACACACAGTGTACACACACAGTGTACACACACACAGTGTACACACACTGTGCACACACACAGTGTACACACACAGTGTACACACACACAGTGTACACACACACAGTGTACACACACAGTGTACACACACACAGTGTACACACACACAGTGTACACACACACAGTGTACACACACAGTGTACACACACACAGTGTACACACACACAGTGTACACACACTGTGTACACACACACACAGTGTACACACACTGTGCACACACACTGTGCACACACACACAGTGTACACACACAGTGTACACACACAGTGTACACACACAGTGTACACACACAGTGTACACACACACACAGTGTACACACACTGTGCACACACACTGTGCACACACACACAGTGTACACACACAGTGTACACACACTGTGTACACACACACAGTGTACACACACTGTGCACACACACTGTGCACACACACACAGTGTACACACACAGTGTACACACACTGTGCACACACACACAGTGCACACACACAGTGTACACACACAGTGTACACACACACACAGTGTACACACACTGTGCACACACACTGTGCACACACACACAGTGTACACACACTGTGCACACACACACACACAGTGTACACACACACACAGTGTACACACTGTGTGTGTGTGTACACACAGTATACACACAGTGTACACACACACAGTGTACACAGTGTGCACACACAGTGTACACACACAGTGTACACACACACAGTGTACACACAGTATACACACAGTGTACACACACACAGTGTACACATACACAGTGTACACACACACAGTGTACACACACACACAGTGTACACACACAGTGTACACACACACAGTGTACACACACACAGTGTACACACACAGTGTACACACACACACAGTGTACACACACACACTGTGCACACACACAGTGTACACACACACACAGTGTACACACACACAGTGTACACACACAGTGTACACACACACACAGTGTACACACAGTGTACACTGTGTGTGTGTACACACAGTATACACACAGTGTACACACACACAGTGTACACACACAGTGTATACACACACACAGTGTACACACAGTGTACACTGTGTGTGTGTACACACAGTATACACACAGTGTACACACACACAGTGTACACATACACAGTGTACACACACACAGTGTACACACACACTGTGTACACACACACACAGTGTACACACACACAGTGCACACACACAGTGTACACACACAGTGTACACACACACACAGTGTACACACACACTGTACACACACAGTGTACACACACAGTGTACACACACACACTGTACACACACGCACTGTACACACACACAGTGTACACACACACACATTGTGTACACACACACATTGTGTACACACACACAGTGTACACACACACAAACAGTGTACACACTGTTTGTGTGTGTGTACACAATAATGTACACGTTGTTGCTGAGCTCACACACCCAAGGGGTCTCTGTTCAAGGGAGGGAGCAATGGAAAATGAATCTAAATCAACTTAAACTCCAACCACGTTCTGTGACGTCACCACTCAGCATTACCTCATCGGCGTGAAACGCCAGGGGGAGGTGTACCTCGCTATTGACGTAATGTCACCAAGGCGTTCACCCCACCCCATCCAACGTGCCCTTGAGCGTGACGTCACTCTTGCCTGGGTCACTTTCGTTATCTGTTTAAGTACAATCCTTATTTGGGCACAGCTACTCACGGTGACTGGCGGCTCATTAACATAATGTTTTCGTGAAAGCCGTTGCGAGTTTATTGCGACGAGATCGGCACCCACGCCCAATCCCTCCACTTATGGGCCAGGCTCATTAACATAAATTATTTAAGTCCCAGAGCCGCTGATTGTGGGAGGGGCGTGTCTTGTTCCCCGCAAGTGACGTCATGTCACCGCCTCCTGCCGCGTGACGTCACGAGGTAACCGGAATCTGCCGCTCCGCGCGTAAACTGAAATCCGAGGTGAGAAATTCTCATCGCGGTTGTGGTGGTTGTTGTGTTTGTGGTGGTGGTTGTTGTGGTGGTTGTGATGGTGGTGGTGTTTGTTGTTGTTTACCGAGGTAGAGCCTCGCTTTCTCTCTCGTAGGGATGTCAATTGAGTAGCAGCGAGCTTGGAAGCGATGTCCAGGTTGGAACTTTACAGCGCTGGGCCTAGCCACGTGGCGTCTTGCCTCCTGCCCTCGCCTGATCGCGTTTGCTTCAATTCTCTTGCTTAGTTGAGCAATCTTTGTAAGAAAGTAATCAACCAGGCTATGCGTTACTTGTGTGTTGACCGACTCTCTGTGTTGCATTACATTTCCTAATTGTACTCAGTTTTATTAAGTGTGCTTTCTCTCTCTCTGTGTGTGTGCTCGTGTTATTATTATTTACTGCAGTCACCAAAGTTCCAAATCTCTCATTGACACAAGGCCGTAATTATATATTATAATAATTATAATATATTATAATAATAATTATATATATTGGGGGACACAACCCTCCCAATTATCAAATATGCTCAAAATATCCCCCCCAATATATTGCTATAGCAATATACAATATATAATATTGCTATAAAAATGTTTTCTAAATAATAATTGCTATGCTATGTTAATAAAAACAACAATTTGCTAAACCTTGGCCACAAAATCTGGACTTGTCTTCATATAACAATGCATAGATTTCTGTTTATATGATTGCGTTGTACTTTATGAATCCCTAATCTCTGCCATTACATACTATGAAACAAGAAAAGTTAAAAAGTAAAAACAGAGCAATGTAATACAATACAATATTAGACATGATTGTATCAAATAATACAAAATCCATCCCATGTGTTAGTGAAATTTGTTAATATTTTATGCAGGAAATGGCAGGAAATAAGTTTTCAAATTTAATTTTTTTCTGGGGGGGGTTCCCAGACCCCCTGGAAGATTTGGTCCCCCCCAATGTTGACTCCATGGCTACGGCCTTGCATTGACTTGCTAATTTCTCTACCCCCCCTCTCTCTCTATTTAAGGCCTCGACACAGAGGCGTTGTATCTCTGTGTGCCTATGTGTGTGTCTCTCTCTGTGTGTCTCTGTGTTATCTCTCTCTGTCTATGTGTCTCCGTGTCTGTGTTTTGCCTCTCTCTCAAATTGAGCAATCTTTGGAAGAACGTTATCAACCAGGTGGGGTGTTGACTGTTAGCCGACTCTCTGTGTTGTATTGCATTACGTTTCTAAGTTTACTAGGTTTGTTTTCTCTATCACTTGTACCTGATGATGATTGCTTGTGTTGCAATCGAAACGTTGTATGCTATTTGCACACAGCGATGGTGTACGGTGCTTTTTGTGGAATATTTTGCTGTTTTCCCCTGGATTTTCTGTTTGCACAGTCACAGTCACTTTAAGATGGTTTCTTGTTCATGTTTTTGTTTGTTGCGGTTGCACCCGATTCAAGAGCCGAATGGCTCACAGGGCTATACCAAATAAATGAAACTGAAACTATTATTTCACTTCTTTATTTTTTCTACGTGACTTTACCGAAAGAACCAAAGAGTATCTTGCTTAAGTTTAAATTTCTCTTCACCTGCCTCGCTACTCTGTAACTTTGTTTTGTTTTAAATATTCACAGTTTTTTTTATTTTTTTACCAGGCCACGCCCACGTTGAGCTGCTGTACCGCTCTTGTTTTCAGAAGCGACCTGCCCACAACAACAACAACAAGGTGGGACTTGTCAACAGCGTGGTGGTGTTCACTCTAGACGCGTGGCGGTGTTCACTCTGGGCACGTGGCAGTGTTCACTCTAGATGCGTGGTGGTGTTCACTGTAGACGCGTGGCGGTGTTCACTCTAGACGCGTGGCGGTGTTCACTCTAGACGCGTGGCGGTGTTCACTCTAGACGCATGGTGGTGTTCACTCTAGACACGTGGTAGTGTTCACTCTAGACGCGTGGCGGTGTTCACTCTAGACGCGTGGTGGTGTTCACTCTAGACGCGTGGCGGTGTTCACTCTAGACGCGTGGCGGTGTTCACTCTAGACGCGTGGTAGTTTTCACTGTAGACGCGTGGCGGTGTTCACTCTGGACGCGTGCCGGTGTTCACTGTAGACGCGTGGCGGTGTTCACTCTAGACGTGTGGTGGTGTTCACTCTACTTGGTGGAGTGAGGAACCATGAATTCTGAGCAGGTGAAGGTGGCCAGGCGTGGGTCTGGACACACCACCACCTGTGAACCATGCCAGTGTGTGACAGTGGTGGAGCCAGTGGGGGTGGGGTGGCACGTGCCCCCCAACGATCCGATCGAAATCCCTAATTTTGATAGGATCATTGGGGTTTAATAGTAACTAGCTTCACTACCCGGCTTTGCCCGGGACTTGGATTCTTGTCTTGGATAAATTTCATATTCCCTCATATTTCACTGAAAAACCCTTAATAAATGTGATGCTTGCAAGAAAGAAAAAAGCCGAAACAAATAAATGTACTAAATCGGATGTTTTCACTCAAGGAATGACGTGGCGAGCTGAAAATAGTCGCGTTCACTTAGAAATTCCAGACAGCATAAGCTGTGAAAATTTCATGATGCCAGAGCTCAGCTTTGGAGAGTTTTTGCTGCTTCACGCAAACAAACAGATGTAATGTTCTGGTTCATATTTAAGATAGCAGTTCTACCGTTTCTTTGCACGGATATGTATTGAAACTCCGAGAAGCCAATGGCTTCATCGGCCAGGAGCGACGCGCCACCTAAAATCTCCCGGCACGCTGTTAACAGCTCTAAGCATTGCAGAGCGCTTAACTCAGGTATGTTGCAGGTTGACGCCACAAACTTCATGGTCATACAAAATTGTACTTTTATACTTTTTTCATTGTGTACAGTATGGAACCTACCCACATGCCAAATTTCAAGTGTGTAGTGTTGTATATGTGGTTATGAAAATTTGATGAAAATAATGAAAATTAGATGAAATTTGAAATTTGCATTATTTATCCGAAATTATGTTATTTTGTGTAATCATGCTTTTAAATTATGCTAATTTGAGAGATAATCGTATTAATTTATGCGAGTGGGTGTGGCTATGATAATGCAGGTCGTTATGATAATCGGGCCCAGCCTCGGTGACGAAGGTTGGTTATCAATTAGAATAATGCAATTAATCATATGCAGTTATGCAGGTGTTGTGAGCATGAATGAGTCAACTCGACTCCGTCGTTTAACTCCGTATTATCAATAAGGATACGATTATTCTCGCTTTAATGTTTATTGATTATGTGTGTTAGTGTGCTTATGATAGGTCCCCCAAAGTTTAAATCTCAATCACAGAACAATTCTTAAGCAGAATCACGGAAAGAATCGCACACAACCCTTCCGCTTTAATCAATTTTATTTTCTAGCTAGATTGATTATTATGCAACGCTGTTCATATGAAAAGACACTCAAACCATTATTATTCCTAAAGGCACAAATATGCGTTCATTGATTCATCATGTTCATTCATGGATACATCAGCAAGATTATGCAATTAAAATGAACGACTCAAATACTCCCAAGTGACCGTATCCAAGTAACTCAATGGCCACAATATTTTCCTTTGAGATTCTTATCTTGGACCAATCTTTTAATTAATTGTGGCCAGATCCCTGACTGGGAAACCGGTTGAACACGCTATTCACCCCCCCCCCCCCCTGGTTGTTGTGTGGTGAGGGGCAGTGCATCATACGTGTGGTCGATTCCTCCTTCGCAGTGGTCCATTCGGGTCTGGCTGACGTAGTTGTAGTTGCGATGGTCGTGGGTAGGTGGCGCACACGGCTCGCTCACAGCGGCGCTGGCCACCAGCAGCGGGCAGCGTGTCGCCAATCGGCGACACTCGCCAATCTGGCGAGTTTGTAGAGGCTTCTCCTGCGTCGGTGGTGGCTGGTCTTCTGCTGAGATGGGTTGAGCTGGTCTTCTGGTGAGATGAGTCTTCTGGGTTGAGCTGGTCCCGCAGGCTGATGAGTTGAATTCAATGCTGGAGCGCTCTCTTTTTATGCCACAATTTTTCCCCTTTAGCTCCTCCTCACGAGGCGGACCTACCTTTGATCTGGTTGTGTGTCGGTGGTGAGGGTTCGTGTGTCAGTGTGCATGTTTGTGTGTGTGTGTCATTTATGACATGGTTCTGGTCGGGTCTTCCTCGAGCCATAAACCATCAAGGGAAAGAGACGCTTCGATTCATCTCGAAGGCGTCTGTCTGTCTACGCTATCCATCCGGAGGCAGGGGCGGGTTCCCCCCCCCCTCCCCCTTTTGTTACAAGTTTCCGACGCACAAAGAAATGGTTAGGTTTTAAAATTTAACATTTCTCATCACAGTTGGTATCGTGTCACCCACAGTTATGATCCTGCCTGTGATTCAGGGTATTTGATTTTATTTCCAAGTGAAGATGCTCTCTCGAGCGCATGCATATTCTTATCACGTGCTGCGGGGAGAGACAAAGGTGGCCGGGATCTTTCTATCTTTCTATACCTTGAGTTGACATCGCTCAAATATCACTTCGATTTTATATTCGACCAGTTTGATCCACCCCGTTATCTTGCCTCTTGCTCAGTTTTATTAATTTTCGTCATTCTGTCCTATCATCATATAGATGTATTGCGATTTTCTTAACTTAAAGCTTGCTCGCCTGGCTTTGCTGCCCGTGGTTGCGGGGTGGGGCCATTATTAAGCCCCGCGTCGGGTGTGCAGATGGCCCTTGCGATAATAATCTCCTTGCTCTGGTGTGAAATTCCTTCTCGCGCTCTGCGGGAGACACAAAGGCGGACGGGAGTCCCTCTCTCTCTGGCTGTTTTCGGTTTAATGTTTCTCAAATACCATTTGGTCTTATGTTCACCAAGGCTCGTGATTTGTAACTCTGTCCTCCCGACGCACCTCTCGGGTTACCGAGATTCGCATTGTTATGATGGAGTTATAATAACGAAAAATAATGTTTATCCTGAGTTTAAGAGGTCCGTTTCTTGATTGTCTGTGACATAT